GAGTGTTAAATTAAACTCTTATAGAGTTAATTTAACACTGCAAAATTTACTGTGTAGCAACAAAGAGAATATGAAGGACGTGTGAAAGAAATGAACTAAACAAAAAACATCTTACGATGCCCTTCAATACAGGAAACTATCTCCCTTTGTCTCGGTGTTGGCTTCCGTCTCTCTCTCAGTAGATATGTATTGAAATAGTCTCTTGGTGCCATGCTCTGAGAACTTATCAAAGAACGGCAGCTGTCTTTGGATCAGCGTATCATTCTGAGCACCTGGTGATGTCCCGTAGGAAAGAAAATGAGATCTATTTAATATGAGATCTCAATTGTTTCTCCTAGATAGAAATGAAGAGCAGATGGAGATGCATCTTCTGCTTTTTCAGTTTTTTCTGCTGAGAAAAAGACTCTCATATGTGTTTCCTCTAGAGTTTCAGAAGATATCATTGCAAAGCACTGAAGCTGAACCGGTTGACAAAGCAAGTCTGGCTGGTTTAGTTAATTAGTTAAAGGGATAGTTCACCCAAAAATGAAAATTCTGTCATTAATTACTCACCCTCATGTCGTTCCAAACCCGTAAGACCTTTGATCATCTTCAGAACACAAATTAAGATATTTCTGATGAAATGCAAGAGCTTTCTGACCCTGGTTAGACAGTAACAGAACTGAAACATTTTATGGCCCAAAAAGGTAGTAAGCACATCGATAAATTAGTCCATGTGACATCAGTGGTTCAACTATAATGTTATTTATAAATTAATGACAGAATTTTTGGGTGAACTATCGCTTTAAGCCCGTTAAAGACGCCAGCACCTCATGTTTGGAATCATCTAAAACACATTTTTATAAATACTTTTAAAAAATATTTTATGTCTTATTTGTCTATATTTGACTTCTTGAAGTGAAGTATGGCCAAGTTGACCGATTAAATGTTTAACACTTTATTTATTAAATTAGACATTATAACTGTCCATCATTTACTTCTGTGTGATTTCTGACTGAACAGAGACTCACCACACATCACACACAGTTTTGATGTCTGGTTTACCATCATTGTGGGGACTCTCCATAGGTGTAATGGTTTTTATACTGTACAAACCGTATATTCTATCGCCTACACCTAAACCTACCCCTCACAGAAAACTTTCTGCATTTTTACATTCTCAAAAATGTATTCAATTTAGGTCCCCACTGTGACACAAGTCCCCATGAGTCAGCATGTATTCAGGTATTATTATATGTATTAAGTCCCCACCAGGATAGAAAAACATATATACACACACACACACACACACACACACACACACTAGAGACCTGCACTCCCACGGGAGTACCGCGGGACCCAGTGCAACAGGGTGCGGCGCGGGACAACTCTTCATGGGCGAGTGCGGGTGCGGGCGGGAAGAGACTCGTGTGTGTGCGGGATGCGAGAGAATAAAATGATTTGCGGGACTCCCGCAAAATAGAAATGATCTAAACATAAAGTGTCTAAAACATATACATTTTTATTTATCTGTTGTACAAAAGCAAAAAGAAGAACTAATATTAACATTAAAATGATTGACATGCACAAGATAGGCATAGTTTCTATTTATTTAAAGGGTGTTTAAAGGGTTGCACAATGTAGCCAATCACAGACTGAGCTGTTGATTTCTGGAACACAATGGCCAATCAGAGGTGATTATAAATTAGAATCTACTCACCGCAGTGTTGAAATTGCGTGCTCACGAATCCTCTCATTTTCACACAAATTTTAAAACATCTCTAGCTGAGTTTATTAGTAAATGATGTAGAAGTCATTCTTTATGGATAATTTATTTATAAATCTAACCCAGACGGGACTCTTAACAAAAGCAAAGTAATATGCATTGTTTGTATGGAGAAATTTAATTAACATAGAGGCTCAACTAGTGAAATATCACTCAGAGTGAAACAACAATCAATCATAAAAATGTTAATGTGAGCAACAGTGGAGGACAAGGCATCAATGGCAAATACATCTCTATATAAATGAGATTACGTCCATAAAGTGTGGGAAAGGTATACAAGAACTATTATAACTGAATCAATGCTACAGATGAATATAGGCACTAAAACAATATAATATGAAAACCTTTTGAGCTTTGCTAAAGATTGCATTTAACAGTGTTGTTAAATTATTAGTATTACTTTTTAGACTAGCTTTAAAATAGCTTTTAAAAAATAGGGCATATGAGCATGCACACTTTGCATGAACACAAAACTTTGGGGTCAGTAAGACCTCTAAAAAAAAAAAAAAGAAATTCATACTTTAATTCAGCATACTTCTATTCTTAAATAAGAATGCATTAAATTGATTAAAAGTTACAAAAATGCATTTATAATGTTACAAAAGATTTTTATAAATACATTTCATCAAAGAATCCTCACGGTTTCCACAAATATATTAAGCAGCACAACTGTTTTAAACATTGATAATAATAAGAAATGTTTCTTGAGAACCAAATCAGCACATTTCTGAAGGATCATGTGACGCTGAAGCTTGGAGTAATGATGCTGAAAATTACATTCACAGCAATAAATTCAAGTGCATTTAAAATATTAAAACAGAAAACAGCTATTTAAACTTGTAATAATATTTCACAATATTACACAAATAAATTCAGATTCTTTCAACATTAAAAAAAATCTTACTGACTCCAAACCTTTGAACAGGAGTGTATACATCCAATATCAACTGAAAAAAAAAAAAATATTGTACTGATACATTGTGCATCCCTACTTAAAAAGGAACTGAATCTGTTAATGATGAAAGAATATTAAATCATCTTATTCCTATCATTCTTATCTTGAGGGATTTTAGGACAATCATTAAGGACAACAAAAGCATCATGAGAGTTATGAAGTGTTCATACAAGTCTGATGGTGACCAAAAATGTGCAAAGTTAGTTTATAAAGAGACTGCAGAGAAAAATACAGAGCCAGACTGAAAGCATTTTTTTTTCCCGGGGGAAAAAAAAAAAAAAAACTATAACCCACTGTATATACAATAAGCGGTCTAAAAGCTGTACTTCCCCTCAATCTTCCTGACAAAACAATGAAAAGCCTCTGCTTCTAAAAGCACTGGTAGCCATCTGTGCATAAAAGCCATGAAGCCAACAATTACTCTTTAGTGTGGACACTGATGCCTGTGTCAATAATTAGGCTATATAGAAAAATGTGTTTTTGTCTTCAAATGATGTATGAACGCTCCCATTTAATCACAGTGAAGCACTTGATGACTCTGTCGTGTGCTTCGCTCAATAGCCGAGGCTCCAATTCATCTCAAGATCGGGTTTTACAGAGGACTCACAAACAAGTAAAAACAAGCTGCCTTTCATAAGAGAAGGCCATTTTTCGGCTGCTCTTTACAACATATAATTTTGTTGAGAATCCATAATGTGCCTTTCATCTGTATGGAATAAATCCCTCTGATGTAATCTGCTTTCTATGAGACCACCTCAATGTTTCGGCTATTGACACAGTCATGCATATTGCTTCTCATTTCATGGACTCAAAACCTTTTCAGTTCTGGATAATGATCTTGACAGTCAAGTGACAGAAAGTGCTCAAGATGTGCTGCACTTCCTGTGCACCGGGTTGCCGAGGTGTGGGGATGGATTCCCCCTACTTTCCTGCTCTGATTGACCATGATATGTGTGTGTCTGGACACTGAGACAGTAACGAATGCTTATTACGGCTCCACTGTTGCCACAAAGCGACTGTCACACTTTAAGTAGCTGCTGAGGGTATTAGCAGGAGTGACTCTGTGCGTTAGTAGCTGAGTGAGGCGCTCCGACACGACTGTGGCAGTGTTAACAGATTCGTTAAAGAAGATTTGCTTCTGCAACTTTGTAAGCTGCACTGTTCTGAGGAGATACCGAATTTGGAGTCTTTCCTCTCCATCCTTCTGCTGCGAGATTCTGAACAGAAAAGGAAAAAAAACAAAAGAAAGAAACAGGGAGAAAGTGCTCTGGCAGGAAGCCCAGAGTGCAAGAGATTTGAAGCAAATACCCCTGACGGCAGAGCAATGGGCTGCTGGAAGATTTCAGGGTGGAGGGATGAAGAAACGCTCTGGGGGATAAAGGGGCGGGATGGGTCTACCCTCCATTATGGCTGATCAAGTGATGCTTAATAGCCATGAGTCTATCAAAAAGAAAGAGTAAACATCCAAACGTCTTCAGTGCACTAAATTAAATCTAAGCTGATTTACAGAGCAAGAGGAAAATAAGACAGAGGTCAGATATATTGTAGATTGTCCATCTCTAAATAGTGCTCAAAATGCTCTTCAAACATAATTATGGGAAAAAAAATGGAAAGTGCCGTGGAGAGTGAAATACGAGAGAGAGGTCACTGGTGGGTTAATTTCAACGATGCTGCAGCAGGTGACTGATTGCTGCTACATGATAGACAGAGAGACAAAAAGAAAAACAGACAGAAGTAAAAGTCAAAGGAAGTGCTCCCAATGGAGAAACCGAAGGCACATTGTGCAGTTATGAGATTTCCTCTAAAATGCATTTTTCATGAGTATTTAACAGCCGTTGGTGCACGTCTCTGAACGGCAGGTGCTTCGCTGACTGCATTAAACCCACCATACAACGCGGCTCCAAACCACTTTATATCCCCAACAAAACACTAAGCGCTGCAGTTACTTGCTGTACATCACAGCTTAAATCAGTGCACCAAAGAGGAAAGAAGCAGATGTAACACCTAGCGAGCTGCCTACCTTGATCAAACGCACCCAAAATGCAATCTAGGTAGGTGGCGCGCTAGGTTTTCAAACACAGACAGAGTTAGCAGTATGCATGTTTACAAGACAGATTCTGGCTCTCATTACCCGAAAGAACCTCTAAAACATTTACAACCAAAGAGCTTCATCAATATGGCATGTTTGTTGCAGTCTGACAGATTTGGCAACCCTGCTGTGGATGCAATGATTGGAACGGCAAAGAAAAAGACAGGAGAGAAAGAGAGAGAAATCCGTACCTGTTGTCATTTAGCTGTGTGTATCTGGGCTGAGGGTCTGGATCTCTGTCATTCACATCATAACTGGCGTCGGGATCCTTAAAATACAACATAAAATACACCGAGAGGATTATATTGCAACACCAGAGCTCAGGTTTTGTGCTGTCAGAAAGAAATACATTGAATTTCTTCTTGCATTGCTTGGATGCACACCTACCTAGATAGCATTTGTAGGCACTCGAGACATATTTGAATATTCAAATTAGAGGTATGCAAAACTACATATTTTAATAATCAAGTAGTTAGTATAATTAGGCTAATTCAGGATTATGTCCACTGCACTGATATGTTTCTTAGGGAGCGAACTGTCTGCTGATATGAATTCAATTCGTAGAGATGGTTAAGGTGAAATGCCGCCACCCCCGAGACACCTGAGGCAAGAACAATTTAAAGGGGTCCTATTATGCTCTTTTACAAAGTCTTGATTTTGTTTTGGGAGTGTACTAGAACATGCGCTCATGCTTGGTGGTTCGAAAAACATTATTTTTCACATAATTTACATTATTACAATACCTTTCTCCCCAGGCTGGCACAAACGGCTCGATTAGTTCCGGCTTTGATGAAGGGCCGCCTTCCGAAAAACAAAATGTGTTGTGATTGGTTAGCTGTCCCAGTGCGTCGTGATTGGCGAACAGCTTAGACGGTGTTCATACTGCCACGCCCCCTTGCTCCATCTTTCAACAAAAGCTTTTGGCGAATCCGGCACTACTCACTCGTGTTGTGGAAGCTGTCCTCAGTAAAATGCGCAGCACACAATAGCAAATTGGTGTTATAATGCTCAGGAACAGAGTTAAAAAGTAAATTGCAACCACTGTTTCCTGACATCATCCGCTTTCAGAAGCCCAAACAAATAGGTTTGGGCACGGAGGTGAAAAAAACAGCGTTTCAGGTGGTCACGCACCGGACGAGAAGCGCACACATCTTTAAAATTCAAATACATTAAAAAGCATAATAGGACCCCTTTAAGCAGAAAGTATTTTGGGAAAGAATGTACAATAAGGCTGAACAGAAATGTTTGGTAACCCCAAATACCTAATTTTTGGTAACCCCAAATACCTTCACGCCACTGTGAAGACTCTAATTTCTATGCAAACCGAGGTAAGTTTTCATAATCCTGACTGTATTACTGAAACCACATTTCTACTGTGCAAAGTACAACAGGAAATTATCTATTTGTGAATCAGGACATTAAGAATTCAGTGAACCAGAAATGTGCAAAATTACATATTAGTAAAACTGACTAGTAAGTGGGCCATCTGAACGACTCATCAATGTTAATGAAGCCCTGTATAATTAGACTGATTTAGGGTCATGTCCACCAAACACAGATCAAATGCTTTCTTACGGGCTGCTCGTATAATATGTATTCAGATAGAGCGCAACGATATGAAACAGAACGTTTTGAGACATTTTTAATGCGACGCAATGGCCAAAGATGTCCATCTGCCTGTGTTCAAAAATTAATTATTAAAAATAGCACTGACTGCACAGCCTTTCTAATACATAACGTTCGTTATGCTATGACATAAATTTATCATCAAAGGCAAATTAGTTTGAACAAGTGGTGTTTTGACGGCTGTAGCAGCAATGCTTTAAATGATATGAATTTAACAAGACAGCTTTACGGATAAAGAGTTGATAAGATTATTTAATGTTGTAGCCTCTTTGGTTGCATTTATTTGAACAAAATACACTAAAACAGTTATATTTTGAAGTATTTAAAAAAATGCATTTTCTATTTTCATATATTTTAAAATGTAATTTATTCCTGTGACAAAGCTGAATTTTCAGCATCATTACTCCAGTCTTCAGTGTCACATGATCCTTCAGAAATCATTCTAATATGCTGATTTGGTGCTCAAGAAACATTTCTTATTATCAATGCTGAAATCAATTGTGCTGCTTAATATTTTTGTGAAAATCGTGATCATTTATTTTTCAGGATCCTTGATGAATAGAAAGTGAAAAAAAACAGAATTTACTTGAAAAAGAAATCTTGTGTAACATTATGAGTCCATTTACTGTCACTTTTGATCGATTTAATGCATCTTTGCTGAATAAAAATATTTTAAGGCCCCGATATACTTAGTAAGTTAGTTTTCGTTCTTCGTTTGGGGGCAAAAAGAAGTTCGAAAAGGCTGAGCGACGGTATACTGTTTCCCGAACTTTCCAACACCCCCGCGCTGCTGGAGGCGGGGTGTAGATTAATGTAAACATGTGTTGCGACACTCGTGTGTATCCCCTAAACACAGTAACGATGAAATGAAGAAGTATAGGCAATCTAGGTGTGAGACAGGCCCCAATGGTCAGAATATTATAGACAAAAGAATAATGATTAGCAGCAGTTCAGAGTCAAGTATCATGTTTGCAATACAAAAGTGTGAATGGCTCATAGTCTGAAAACTTTAGCATGATGTGAAAAAAATACTTTCTTTTATTAGTGTTCATTTATTGTATTAAACTGGATAAGTTGTTATACCTTTTTATATTTTATGTGGTGTAATGATTTACTTTTGATAAAACAAAGGTTTATTATTGTATGTTCATTTGGCATTTCATTTATTGTATACCCTTTAAATTAGTTTATTGAAAACAACAACAGCAGCAGAAGCAACAGTAAGGTGTAACATTTATTTGAAACACATGTATTTGGTACTTGCTACCTTATATCTTTACTCTTTCCTTTCCTTCTTTTCATGGCTTTGGAAAACTTGTCTCAGATGTTTCACTGCGTCGCTTTTTGCATAACTCTGGGTCGTCGACATCAAGCTTCGTTGCAATTTCTTTCTAGGAATTAAATGCTTTCTCTGAATCTTTAAAGTCTCTCCGTGAGCGATCGTACAGGTGTAGATATATTTGTGCCAGCTCAGCTATTCGACACTCCAGTGTATTCATAGTGACTAGGAGATGTTGTTCTCCTGTCGGACCTCCGTGGAATGGGAAACAAACCGGGGGGGAAAAAAATAAAAAAAATCGCACATCAAAGAAGGTGGAGTTTCAGAACACACCCACCGATTGCGTAACCGCCACGGACCAATGGAAGCTCAAAGGTGTTTAGGAGCCAAAACAAACTCCCACAGAAATTTCGCTTTGGTCAGCTGTTTCAAAACTAACTTCGTTTCGGCCTGATTTTGTTCGAAGTGAGATCATATCAGTTCGTTCTTCGATTTCGTTTGAAGTATATCGGGGCCTTTACTCACCACAAACTTTTGATATATATTAATAAAGTATATTATTGTTCGCTCTTCAAAATGTTTGTAAAAAAGGATGACTCACATAGTTTCTTGCTAGATCAGGGTGATCTTTCTCAATGCCGTCATCTAGAATGGTCACGACCACTCCTCTTCCTGTGAAGCCCTGAGCCCAGGCCTCCTTCACATTCAGGTCTCCATGACTGGGATTGTACTGCAAAAAAAATGGATTTTTAACCATTAGTCAGATGTTACATGCAAGTTCACTGGAAGCAGGCAAAACAAGAAATTATTCTTCAGTTCTTTTATTTCCCTTCAGCAAAGGCAAATGTTGGACTCTGTAAAGCTTCTGTGTGGCACAGCAGAACATGAGCCCTCCGAGCCATTCTGGAAAGGGAGAGTTAACGGAGTATTTGACCAAGACCTCCCAGTAGGGAAAAGCCCACCTGCAGGACTTTACACACATTGATTTTTTTACCCTTGCCACTGAGAAAGGCCCAGCCGCAGGAGCTAATGCTAATGAAAGATTACTGCTCACACAGTCACACACTTTCTCCTCCCAGATGGCAGCACAGTTCCCAACAGGGTGTGGAAACTCATTCTTTTTAACCCAACAGCTTTTTCCCCAGCAAAGTTCTTGTCCTATCTTCTTCTCTCGCTCCATTTCTTTTCCTCACACTTTGCTTTATGCTAAATGCCATCTGTCAAAACGGCACAGCAGAATGTTTCATTTAGTGTTGAAAGATGAACATTAAACGTAAATGTGGAAATTGGGTGCAGAAACACAATAAAAAACTTCTATTGGCACGTCTTCAGATAACTGCCCCCTTCACAACCTTCTCTCCCCCTGACAAAGAGCATAAAAATAAGCAGACAGAATCAAATTGCTCATCGCTCAGTGGTGCTTCTTCAGAGTAAACAACTTAAAAAGCAGTCATTCCCTTGTCAACAATGATACAATCTCTATTTTCAAATATTACAGTACAAAGCGCTTGCGTTTCAGTTAATGTTTGACAGTAACACGTACAGATGTGGCTGAAAAGAGGTTGTGAAGAAGCCGAAATTTTAACAGATTAGTATGCTAATGTAGAACGGCAGCTCTCGCATTTGTTTTGTCATGGGTGGCCTAGGATGCTCTTTAGTCGTTTGGTTCACGCATTAATATGTTTTGGACTAGGGCACATGCTCTGAATACCGAACAGAGCTTTAAAAGCCGTTACGCAAACAAACACTTGAAGACACACCGATGTGAGTGAGTATTCATGCACACACCCACACATCGTAATTATTTTGTGCAAGTTTTGTATGAACTCAGTGAGTCAGACTCATTCTGAATCTGTCATCACTTAATAAAACGATTAAAATTTTTTTGGCAAAGGTTAATATGATGTTGTGTTATCTCTGTCAGTGAACGTGACTGTCAATACATTAGCTCACTTCACTTTTGGTTGTTCTCAGTGTGGGCATGCAGGTCACAGGACTAACCTGAATAACAAATATTTATAAATTCATGGCTTATTTACACCACCGTTTCATTTGACAACAAAATTTGCAACTCATTTCACATCTGTGATGTATTTCAGTGTGAAACAGAAGAGTCTGCAGAAAATAATGTAGGGCAGGACTTGTGTTGTCCAATGTGATTTGATAGGATATAAACACACTAGGCTGTAATACTATTGGACTTTATCTGACTTCTTTTTATTCATATGAAAAAAAATATGAAAAATGTCTTAATTGCTATTAAAACAATATATAAGGTTATTTAGGATTCCCCAAAAAAATCTAATGTATGTTTATTTTACAAATATTGACTTATTTGTCTTGGTCCTGGAGGCACACCAACACTGCACATTTTTCATGTCTCCTTTCTCTGACACACCAATTTCAGGCCTTGGAGCAGGGGTGACCAAACTTTGTCCTGGAGGGCCGGTGTCCTGCAGAGTTTAGCTCCAACTTGCCTCAACATACCTGCCTTCAAGTTTCTAGTATGCCTAGTAAGAGCTTGATTAGCTGGTTCAGGCGTGTTTAATTGGGGTTGGAGCTAAACTCTTCAGGACACTGGCCCTCCAGGACCGAGTTTGGACACCCCTGCCTTGGAGTCTCTACTAATGAGCTGATGACCTGAATCAGGTGTGTTTGATTAAGGAGACATGCAAAACGTGCAGTGATGGGGTGCCTCCAGGACCAGGGTTGGGAACCACTGATCTACACTTCCATTCAAATGTTTGGAGTTGGTAAGATTTAGCTTTTAAAATAAGTCTTTTATGCTCACCAAAGCTGCATTTATTTTATCAATTACTCTAGTCTTCAGTGTCACATGAGCCTTCAGAAAACATTGTAATATGTAATATCGCTTTACTGTGCAAGTAAATGTCTTTACTGTCAATTTTGATCCATTTATTGCATCCTTGCTGCATAAACATATTCATATCTTTCAAAAAAATCTTACTGACTTTTGAACAGTTGTGTATAATAAAGTTATCTATTATTTTTTAGTGTGGTCACAAATCTGACTTACAGCCTAATTTGTATTATAGAAAATGAAAACTTTCATGCATAAATTTAATAATAAATGACCTCTTTTGATTAGTTTACAGTCATTTAATGGATAAATTATTCTTCTCCCAAACAAATATAGTATAGAGCAGGATTATACCCAGACTGTTCACCCAAAAAGTAATATTTTGATTTTTTTTCTTTTCACTTTTATTTCTATAAACTGAAACTCACTGGAGTCCATTGCTGTCTTGGATCCCATTGACTTTCACTGTATGGGCAATAACAGTTTTAAATACTTAAGTGCTTTGTACAAAGAAAATCATACAGATTTGTAATGACATGAAAGTGAATAAACGATGACAGAATTTTCAATTTTGAGTGAACTACCCTTAAAACCTTTCAATATTAGTTCATAAATCACCTTCATATTCTCAGCATGTATTCTTTCATTGTGTTCATCACGCTTGCTTTATGTGGTTAGATGACTCTTTTCGAATTGAACTTAAATGCACAGAATCACTTCAGAGACAACATTCAGTTCACTTTAATGTAGCTTGTTACACTAGAAACTAGGGTAAGCTGGGAAGATCCTCTTTTGAACTCCTTGGTTGCTCTTGCCAATCAGATCCACCCAGTAGCCTTGGTTAGGTCAGAAAAGTTGTTTCAGAGGCTGAGAAAGATTTTAAATTGTGATGAAAAATTCAGAAAAAACATGCACGGATGTATCATCCACAGTAAGAGAGGAGACATTTAATAACCAAGTAAAAAAGGATCTATTTTGATGTCATGTCGTTTTGAGACTATAAGCACACAGAATACTGTTTATATATTTCAAAACAGACATGGGGGATTTAGAGCGGGAAAGAATCAGAGAGAATGTGAAAGCTCAGAGATCAAGTGCGGACTCCTTTTTACTGCAGAAGCACTTTAGACACGTTGCATTCAAAAGCTGAATGTACAACCACAATATAAATACATACAGTAGCTTTTCACATACCAGGTACCACTGCTGGGGGAATTTTGGATCTGTGGGTTCAATATGAATGTCTCTCTTGTGTCTTCGCTTGGCAATCTGCTGCTCTGCCCAAATCACCTGAAAATAACACACACACACACACACACACACATACACAGATTAGAGGCAATATCTCAAATATTACACACCTACATCCTTGTAAATCACTCATCTCTATTTTCACCTTTAACTAGGGATGTACGTCCCTTCTGCACAGCTTGTCCTCACTCTAAAAATACCCACATTTCACACTAACCCGCATTGTTCTTTTCGATCTGCTGTGTTTTATAGCATTTCATTAGGTATGTATATGTGTGTATGAAAGAAAGAAAAAAAGAAAGAAATCACTTTAATAATAATATCTAATAATGATATCTCTTAGATAACAATATAGTTTATTCTGAAAATGGCTTCTCAATATTAATTCTCTATATCTGCAAAGACTCCTAATCTGCATTGAAAAGTGAGAGTATATATGAACTCAAACATTTCTCATCCAATTCTTCCAAAACGATCTGAGCACTTTGATGCACTTTTACTGTATGTTGATGACTGACTCATTTGTTGCTATTTTTATATCTAAGGGAATTTTAGTTGAAACATCTGAGACAAAGCAGTTCTAAGTGCAGTTTCATGTAAGTGTTTAAGTCTATCAAAGATCAACCTATAAGCAATAAAAAATGTCCTCTGGGCAGTGTTTTTTGTGATGGGATGGACACGGCTAACATACAGCACACAGACATTAAGATTCACATCTGAGGTATTAGCAGCGAAGTCTGAAATCTAATCAGGGACTAGAGACTTATGGGCGTCTGAAGTGCTCTCTGCAAAACAATTGTTTTAAATGAGCTTAAAGGTCCACAGGGCCCCTGCCTCATGTACAGGATTCATTTTCTCTTTACAAGGGGACGACCAGAGTGCCCACTGATTAAATCGATTAACTCTTGCCTCTTCTCATTCTTATGTCAATTCTATCAGCTTCTCAAAAAAAATAAAAATCCCTCAGATCCCTCCGGTTAGAAGAAGCTTCTTTCTTGGAAAAGACACCTGTACACCAGTGTGGCATTTTAGCACAAAGCATTGTTTACATAATTACACGTGTGCTTAGAGGTTATAATTTACTATACTGTCTTTTTATTTCTGTGTCAGTGGGAAGAAAACAATCCATCTCTTGGTTAATGGATGGGTGAGTTAGGCTCTGTAAAACAACATATATGTGACCCTGGACTAGAGGGTGACACGGGAGTGGATTTTCAAACCTCTTCCATCCCACTCCCACAAAAAAAATTCCCGTCCTGTCCCAATCCCACGAAAAAACTGGGGGAAAATCGCGTACTGTTCCAATCCCAGAAGAATGACCCCCATTCCCTCCCACTCCCGTGTTGTTGTTTTTTTTAGCTTGGAATCTGTCTGTTACAGTGAAAAAAATACAGTACAGATCACTGCATGCCCACTTCAGTTGAATAAAAATCCAAAATGTAGTTTTTTGTTATTTTATTGAACTGAAAGCCAGCTTAAACAATGCACAGTGTACATTGCACACACATTACATTTCATGTAAATCATCCATGCTAACACACGTTTTCTTTTTGATTTTTTTTTTCATTTGAAAGCAGACATTTCACTCTCTATAGATATATTTTTCATACACAGAGTTTCGAAGTTTCTCGCTCGAGTTCACAGACCGAGACGGCAGAAAGCGCATCCTGTTTGCTTTAATTATTTTACAAAAGCAACAACATTGTTATTCTGAGTGCACACAAATAAACAGAGTTTTTACAGATTCGAAAGATGTATTACTTTTTTCTGTATGACCAAAAATGACGGAGTATTTTAAGAGCAAGTGAGCACACCGGCGCCTCCATCTGTCCTGCAGTGAGCTGTTGTTCAGCTTCCACACAGACACTTGAAAAGCGCACATTTCTCTAGGTTAACATTAGATTGAGCGGCCATGTAAAGTTGTTACTACATACATCTTTTAGATGAAAAGCCATATTTGAGGTCGATGAATGATAGGTTAGCGTTTGGATGTCCTGCCCGATGTAAACTAGCTATATTACCACATAGACCAGCCGTTAATGATCTGTCCGTCATGGACTGCGTACGTCATTCACTTAACCAGCCACACCAAAGCAAACAGGAGGAGAGCATAAAGAGACAGGGCAACTAGAATTGAGTTCAAAATTAAAATATACAGTTTAGAGTTTATTTATATAAAAGGTATATTTGTGTATAAAGTTGGGTATCATAGTGTTATTACGATTCCCGGTCACGCCCACTCCCGTTGACATTTTTTCCTGTCCCGTCCCAATCACGTGATTAATAGGGATTTTGTTTCCCATCCCGCGGGATTCCCAAAAAAATGTCAGCCTTAAGTTGCTTGGGTATATTTTAGCAATAGCCAAAAAAACATTGTATGGGTCAAAATTATCGATTTTTCTTTTATGCCAAAAATCATTAGGATATTAAGTAAAGATCATGTTCCATGAAGATATTTTGTAAATTGCCTACCGTAAATATATCAAAACTAAGAACTTCATTTGGACAACTTTAAAGGCGATTTTCTCAGTATTTAGATTTTTTTGCACCCTCAGATTCCAGATTTTCAAATAGTTGTATCTCAGCCAAATATTGTCCTATCCTAACAAACCATATATCAATGGAAAGCTTATTCGTTCAGTTTTTAGATGTATAAATCTCAATTTCAACCCTTATGACTGGTTTTGTGGTCCAGGGTCACATATACACAATAGTCATGACATCTTTGACCGCACATACTACATACTGTCCAATTTGCAACCGAATCACTCGATTGGAGTGTTTCTTTTTTCATGAATCAATTAAACTGTCTGACAAATGAAACGAGTAGATGGTCTGATTGGTGAATGGAATCAGTCAACTAATTTCCACAATTAATTGCCTGTGATTACTCCCTCACTCAATGAGCGACTCAAAATGAGAACCGTTCTTATATGTACTTTTTAACAATTCAGTTTTTAGATGTATAAATCTCAATTTCAACCCTTATGACTGGTTTTGTGGTCCAGGGTCACATATACACAATAGTCATGACATCTTTGACCGCACATACTACATACTGTCCAATTTGCAACCGAATCACTCGATTGGATTGTTTCTTTTTTCATGAATCAATTAAACTGTCTGACAAATGAAACGAGTAGATGGTCTGATTGGTGAATGGAATCAGTCAACTAATTTCCACAATTAATTGCCTGTGATTACTCCCTCACTCAATGAGCGACTCAAAATGAGAACCGTTCTTATATGTACTTTTTAACAATAAAAGCAATATTTACGTGCAAACTTCTAAGTAGGGCTGCACGATTATGACAAAAATCATAATTGTTGATTATTGCCTTGAAATTGTGATGTTTGATGTTGAATGATGTTTATACCATTGTTTGATGCACCTGCATGCCATATTTTTATATGAAAATAAACAAGCTGAAAACACTGTAACTGAAACACTTTTAGTGCTTTTCTATAGTATTAAGCCTCAAATGTCAACTATACATCGGACTGGTTTCTTCTTTAAATGATAAAAAAAGTACAAATATAAATGGTATTATAGTGTTATATTAAAACTAAAATTAAAACAATGGAAAAACCCTTAAGATAACATGTAGAAGAAAAAAAAGCATCTTAAGCACACAGAATAACATAAGTGGACTTTAAACGATTAATTGCCGCTTTGAACGATTACGTAATTGTGGCATCCATAATTGTAATCGCGATTAGAAATTAAATTAATTGTGCAGCCCTACTTCTAAGGTTAATAAAATTAAAATAATTTGACTAACTTTTTGTTAATATGACAATATGTAGTTAAAGATACACCCATAACAGTTTTAGTGTAATAAAAATAAATATATATAAAAATATAAATTAAATACTGTAAATGTATATATTTAAATAGAAATATAAATTAAATGTTCCTTATGCTCACCAAGGCTCACCAAAAACAGTAATACTGTGAATTTATCATGAAAACAGCAAATGTGGAGCAAGGCCAGGTCAGATTTGGAGGAAGAATGCATTTCCTGTTCCTTTCACATCTTGCTGCCCTTCAGTCCACAGCAAACCTCTGAAAAGTCCACTTTGACTTTTAGCGAGCAAATTAAATTCTGGTTTGCAAGAGAGAAGACCTACTCGTACCTGCATTCAATTTCGTATAAATTCCCATCGTTGGAGGGAATACAAGCAGCAGCCTTCAGAAATATGCTTCATTAGCATAAAACCATGCTGACCTCGGAATGCAGAGCAGGCGATGTGTGTGTGCGTGCGTGTTGTACACGTGAGGCTTGTGCCAAGATAAACCCTGGCAACAAGAATGCCTGACCCGCCCTGCATAAATAGAGGCTAGCACACAAGGGAGCAGCAATCCAGCTTGCATCTTCCCCTCTCTCGTTCTCCGCTGTCATGGATCAGTGTTAGGAGTCATCCGGTCTCTTCTGCTGGCGCCTGGTGGGCAGGTGGGGTCTGGGAGGGCATCAGTATTAGCCGTGTAGTTGGATCTCCGAAGTGTGCACAGAGTTTTAACTAGCGTCTGAAGCTTCAGAGAGTGAAGATAAGAGGCTTGTCAGCAGGAGATCTATGGAAGGCCTGCAGCCAGTGGCCCAAACATGCAGTCGCTCAGGATGCCTGTGCTGCTCTCAGATAACTTATCGGCATAGCCAGAGTCCTGCACTTCAGTACTACCAAACACACACCAACAACACCTCACACACACAAACCAATAATCACAGTCAGTCACCCATCTGAGACTCTGGTCCAACTACTTTATCATGGTATGCTAATGACAACTCCTCTCCTCTCATCTGGCCTCCTCTTGTATCATCTCCTCTCCTAATGTCTCATCTGTTCCCCTCCCTTATCATTTCTCTTCTTGCTTCAGTCCCTCTCATCTCAACACTTCCTGCTTTGTGAGTTCCTCTCCGCCCTTGTCCCATTTCATCATATCTCCTCACATCTTGTCTTCTAACTTTTTAATTTCTTCTTTTCCTTTCTCCTCTCCTCTCATTTTATCTACAACCTTCTTGGGTTGTCTCATCTCCTCTGGTCTCTTGTGTTCTCTTCTTCTTTCCTGTTGCCTGGTCTTATCCCATTTCCTCTCCTTTCACCTCTACTAGTCTTGTTTTTCTCCTTTCCTCTTGTCTCATCTCTTTACTCCTTCCTCCTCTCCTCTTCTCATCTTGTGTCCTTTCATCAATTCTTGTCTCCCCTTCTATCTCTTCTCTTCTAGAACCCTCTACCCACTTCTCCTCCTTTCTCATTTCCTCTCTTACCATCTCATGTGTTCCACTTGCTTTACATTTTCTCTTCTTGCCTCCATCTCTCTCATCTCATCTCTTTCGGTTTCGTCTTTTCCTCTCCCATCTTGCATCATTTGATCTGGTCTCCTCCCATCTAGTCTACTATCCTTTCATAGTTTCTGTTTTCCTCCAACACTCTTCACATCTCCTCTCATTTCATCTCTAACCTTCTTGTCTCATCTAGTCTCCTTTTCTCTTCTCTAGTCTCCTGTTGTTTCATCTCATGTCCTCCTGTCTCCTTTTGTCTCTTCTCCTTTCCTGTCTTGTCTCATCTCTTCTTATCTCTATTTCTCTCCTTACCCACATTTTTTATCTCTGCTCTCCCCTGCTATCTCTTTTCCTCTGCCCTCTTCTCCTCTCTTTCAATGTGGTCTCCTCTCCACTCCAAATGTCTCATCTGTTCCCTCTCTTCTCATTTTTTCCATTTCATCTGTTCTCTTCCTCTTTTTGTTCCCCTTCATCACATCTCCTCCCATTTTGTCATATATCTTTTCATATCTTCTCCTTGTATCACTTCTCTTTTCCTTCAACTCTCCCTGTCCTCTTTCAATGTCTTCTTTCATCTCTTGTCCATACTTCTTGTACAATCTCCTCTCCTCTTAGTGTTTTTCTCTTCTTCTCTCCTCTTTCTCCTCTCATTTAATTTCTTCTCATCTCCTTGTGTTCTCTCTTCTTATCTTCTCGTTATCTCTTCCCCCTCCTATCTTCTCCTTTTCCCCCTTTTGTTCCTTCTCTCATGTCCTCCCCATCATCTCTTCTCGTCTCATCTCCTCCCACCCTATATTTTCTTTACTTCCCATCTCCACTTTGTAATCTGTACAGTCGTGTTTGTGAGTGACTTTGCATGTGGCTCGTCTTTACCTGTGGCTCGGCGTGTAGTCGGACATGAACCCCGCAATGGCCCCACAAAGATCTCCTCACCACACCCCTGTGTTGGAAATGATAATAATCCCCGAAAACCTGTGGACACACAGACGCACACAGAGGTGATATATTAGAGTGCTATTGCAAAGGAGTCGTGTCTTACCCGCCGTACAAGGTCATATGGTCTTACACTCCAGAGGGAAACACTCATTAACTCCAGCACCTGCTCACACACTGCAAAAAATGCTTTTCTAGCTTAGATTTTGTCTTGTTTCCAGCCAAAATATCTAAAAATCAAGAAGGATTTTCTAGACAAGTAAAAATTATTGTCTTGTTTTCAGAAAAAACAAGTCGAATTCAAGTGAGTTTTAGCTTGAAACAAGCTAAATAATCTGCCAATGGGGTAAAATAATCTTGTTTTCTGTTTGAACTCACTTGAATTCGACTTGTTTTTTCTGAAAACAAGACAATCATTTTTACTTGTCTAGAAAATCCTTCTTGATTTAAGAATGTTTAGATATTTTGGCTGGAAACAAGACAAAATATCTAAGCTAGAAAAGCATTTTTTGCAGTGCAGACCTGGCCATCTCTCTCTCCAACACACAAACACATTCAGAGCAGAGCTGCAAAGATTCAGCCGCATACATTTATCTCTTATAGTCCTAATACAAAACACGGAACGAATGCAAAAACCCACGCACACCCTAAAAGAGCTTCCCACTGAGACAAATTCTGAGAAAATGATGAAAGGTGGGTTTTCTTCATAACACACGCACATGGTGACAAGTGTGAATTATTTCTTTACAATTCCAGGTACTCTTTGCACACAAAACAGAGCAAAGTGCACACAGTTTAAAATGTCTAATGGCGAATAGCAGGAGGGATGGAGAAGAAAAGATTCGACTCTCTTTCATTAATCTGATACACAGAAGCTGTAATTCTGTTGTGCTTCGGTTCAATAAAGCAGCACATAGAAGCTGTATCTGGACCGCCACACACTGATGTGTGGGATCCGGCGCTTAGCTGGGCAGCTCGTGTACTTTGAGCTTGTGTGTGCATATGTGAGAGAATCATGCCTCTAACATTACTCATCTTGTTCTGTTACCAGTAGAACGCTGAAAGCAACTTCTGGCCGAATACCCACACACTTCTTTCAGAAGTGACGTCAATGAATAGATCCTGCACTATACAGTCAAGTGTCTCCTTGCTAAAATGTTCATTTATCAAAATGCTTCCCTGCTGGGCTTCTGTTCCTCTGACACTTCACTGCAGACGGCCTCTCTTGGTTTCCTCGGTCTCTCTTTCACACTCCATGTCCTTGTGATGATCAATAACATGACCTCTGCTGCCATCATCTACTTGTCTCACTGAAACTACAGAGGTGTCCCCTGAGATCATACGGGGATGGAAATGCTTTCTGAAACCAGCAGGACTCAGCGTGAATGTCTGAAGTGGGTAAATTGGGTAAATTCATACCAGGTGTTCTGAAACTCTCCAAAAATAAAAATCACAGATCTCATAAATATCTCAGTTGTTTCTCCTAGACAGCAGTCAGAACAAAGCAAATGGAGACTTTAGCTTAACTGTCTCTAGAAAAGATCTTAACAATGTCACAAACTGTGTCAGCTGTGGCCTGTAATCAAAAGTCAACCAAGTGTTGGTTTGAATCTACTGACAAATTACTCCGTGAATCCATCAGAGGTTAGAGAATTAGTATCTTGTACCATGCATTTTAAATAAATACATACACATAATTAAACACAATAATAATCAAAAATTAAAGTAAATTAATAGCAGAATTAGTATGTGTATCTGCTATCTGTTATTTCTTAACTGAGAGCTCCATTAAGCCTCCTGTGTTATAAAAGAGCAACCTTTGACCAATAAAGTTTTTGCCTGATCTGCCTCAGTGTGGCGGACAGGGTCTGCAGGACTTGTGTAGCATGTTGTTAACTAGGATAGGGTCTAACGCTCTGGCGGCTGAGATCAGCTTCCAACTTTTACAGTTCAAATCACACTGCATGTGCTGTCAGATGTGTCACAGAATTCCCACACAACTTTGCTTCATCCTCTACTTCTTTTCACTCTCTTTTTATACTCTTCAAATCACAGTTATTCGGTTTCTTTCACCTACACTAAGATTTTAATACCACTACTGTGTGTATAAGTGTGTTTG